TACCGATTATTAATTTTTAGCTTCATTATAATGATTCCTTGCTTTTATTAATATTTATTTTAAATTTTATTAATAATATTTGACCATTAACTATATTAACGACCATTGATTATATTAGATAGAGCATGTAGTAATTCTTTAGTCCTTGCATTGAAAGTTTTAAGGAGTTTTAGATTACTACTAGACTATTAAGTTGATTATGTGAAATTTTAATGATTTCAGATCAGGGAAGAGGCCAGGACTAATTTAAGTTAGATTGTCAGAGATCTTCAAGTTTTTATTAAATTTTATTATATATTTTTATTTATTCTTTTATAGTCAGGAGCTTGTGATAGAGTGATCTCATGGCTAGCGTAAATGATATTTTGGTGAATGCATAATATAATATCTTAATGTATATGATTTTAGTTGGTTTCACTAGTTGTTTTTTATATTAATGATTTATAGAAGCTTAAATATAATTTTAAAATGATAAATAGATAATTCTTTTAAATTTGATTCAGGGCGGTACATAACCTATGAGTGTTCATAGGAGATAACACAAGATGTGTAAGTGAATACAATAACTTGATAACCAATAAATGTAAGGAGGTCAACGATGAAGTCAGTTTATCGGCGATCAATAATAACATGTAAATGAGCACACTAGCTTATCTGTACAATATAATGATAGATATGTTATGGGAATGGCAGTTATCCTACAAAAATATTAAAGGAGATTGCGATAAGCATCTATAAGTCATAGTATGGTATTCATTAGTGCACGATAGTCTACTCGAATAAAGCAACAAATGACCTACAATGCAATGCTACAATTCTCCTGTAAGCAGAAGCAGGAGATTCATAGTAAAAACTGTGGAATGAGGCAAAAAAATTGTAATGTCAGGCTGTCACACTGAATAAGTCAGCTCATTTGTAACTAATAGGTGGAAGACCTACTATGTCACACAGCTATTTGTCGAGATAAATATACTCCTACAGGTTGAATGTTGAAGAAAATAATAGACTGCAGAAGATGAAAAGAGATAAATAACACTACTGATACGTGATAAATGAAGCCCAACGCGTTGTTAAATTATACAATCGGATCCGCAATATACATACAAATGGACCCAAGGCATCAACTAATTCCAAAATAAAACCTGTATACCTATCAATAGGGGTAACTTATATATATGGTCATTACAAAAACATCCCCTCGCATGTATTAAAATATATAAAGATATGTTCATAACTTGCATGCATTTGTAGTACAAGGGTGCATTATACAAATACACTATACAACATGTAAAATGCACCATGCTCTAACGACACATTAAATTAACATGTAAAATGCATCATGCACAAATACACTGCAAACATACAAAATGCATTACATGAGTACACTATATCACATGCAAAATATACTGTGCAGCAAAGACGAGCTATGGTGACATGCAAACATATCATGCACTATGCGAAAGCATTGTATCATTATGCAAACATGTTATGCATGCAAATCATCTACTACAACATCAAGTTAACATGCAATATGTCAAACATCAAAGAATATGGAAATACATGTATTAACATAAACATGACATGCAAATATGTCATGTACACCAGTTGCAATACATACATACAACTATTATACAAATACATATTACAATGTATATGCAAAGACAAATACTTGCATGGGCCCCGATGAGCATGTTGTAGGCACACACGTGACATCTAAGGATATTATGTGGGTCAAGAAATGAACCTAAGTTTTAGCCTGATCATTCTACATGAATACATAAGAGTCGATACATCTCGATTTATCTAACAAATATACAGTTGTGGCATTAACCGAGATAATTATTTTATATATTAATATTAGGCCTTCAAGATCTATAATAAAAAAATCATTAATAAAGGCATAAAACCAACAACAAACCCGATTCTTTGTCGGTAAGCTGAAAGAGTTGAGAAGGTTCAACCAATAAAATGAAAATTGTCCATAAATACTATGATGATGGCTGTGCTGATATAAAATCTCAATCGGAGGGGACCTAAAACAATAAAAATATCTCCCAAATTCTCATAAAAATTCAAAACTAAAAAAATCAGAAAAATTAAAATATTTAAAATTGAAACAAAAACACCAAAATAATTAAAGCAAAATACATTTCCACCCTCCACAATAGTTTGTTGATGTGGATAAATCTAAAATTTAATTCAACTCATAAAGTGATATTTGATTGAGAATATCACTATGATTAATTCTTAATCTGTCTCTTACTAGTAAGGACATGACATATGTCTTCTAATCGGTGGTCTAACCACCAAATGACCCCACATGAGAAAGGTTATAACTAGGACTCGCTGATTGGATATTTTGGCGCCGCCAAATGATACTGTTATATTACGATCATGGTTAGATCCAGTATGTTCCCCAACAACTTCAAATCATTGAGTAATGAATTAATATGATATGATTTATAGGGCACAAAGCCCTCTATTAGATAAGGTGGATTCAAAAATTTCCCCTTAAATAAATATTCACCCTTGATCTATAAGGTACCCTTAAACGAAGCAACTCATGGTTGCCGACAAGGATCCTTCTTTTAGGTTTTGTCGACTACCTCCTATGAATAAGTAAACCAGGGACCATGATGACCCGAGAAGATGGAACCATGAGATCTTGATCTAGTTTAGTATCATTCCCCCAATATCCGCTTTAGCTGTAAGGTGGTAAATTTCTAATTATAAATATTAATTTTTCAAATACCAAACATTGCTGCTACTATACCCCATATATTATATATTTGTTTGATGACTAACCTTAATCAAATGTTCTCTCATTATTGGGAGGGATTATAGGGGCTTGTGCCTATAGGAAACCTGAACTGAAATTATAAAGTCCTCGACAATGAGAGCGAAATCTCTGGGTAATGTCTTATTCAAAACCCATTTTACCTCGAAACTTAAGCGTTAAAACTCACTTCGAGGACCCAAAAAAGAAGAATGGGGTCATAGAGAGGCTGGGGTGTAAATTTTCGAAGCCCACATTGGTTCAATAATGTTGTTGGTCAATAACTAAATAGAAACTTTTTTGAAGGCCTCTAGTAATCTCAGCATGGATCTTACCAACTCAATCAAGATTTAGGCTTCGTTTGGGATAACCTTCTTATTGCTTTATAAAGTTGTTATAGAGAAACTAACTTTTTGAATTTATTATAGAAAGTAGCTTTTTATTACAATTTTTTTTGAAACCAGCGAAGAAACAATGGCTTGATAGAAATTGTGATTGTGGTCTGAAAAATAAAGTAGTAAAAAATATCTCCCAACTGAAACCTTAACCTCGCTTGGCTCTTTATACTAAATAGCTTAACTCTTTATCAAAACACCACCTCGTCTGGAGTATCATGAAAGATCTTTATTACTCATCCAAGAGTAACCATCAAAGTCAACTAAGAGATTCTGATAAGTAGAACTTGCCAACAATTTAAACATTTTAATTCATCAAGGGAACTTTCTTCAATAAACCTAGTAACCTAGAGTTCTTTAATAGGCCTAATCATTTGCATTTATTTTACACTCATCTAAGGGGATTGTAGGTTGGAGGAAAAGTGAATGCAAAGTAAATCAAATGCATTACTTTTTTACTTTTTGGTGTTTATTTGGATACCATATAAAGTAAAATAAAATTTATATGTATTCCAAACCCCTAATGTAGCTCGTTTTTCATATAAAAGAAACCCGCCCATTTTGAGCAAAAAAGAAGAACACGTGAGAGAAAAAGGGAGAAGCCCACGGGAAGCATCTTCGTCTCTTCATCCGCATCGTTTATTCCATGTTGGATGCAAATGCGGGTGTTGGGAAGAAGCGCAAATCGATAATGATTTTCAGATTTGGATGTTCGCAACGTTCGGGAGAAGTGTAGTGATTTTATGTCCTTCAACGATTCAAGCATTCCACCGCATCGACTTCAACGGCTTTACACGACGTGTGGCCTCTGCGAGGCGTTGTGTGATGTGTGAATTGAGTAGCTTGGTGGACGAGCAGATCGAGCGCATTCCAAGCTTGATGGTATGTGAGTTCAAGGCCCTCTTTGTGTTCGCATTTGTACTCATTTCGCTCCTCATTAGCATGTAATGATGTTGTTCAGTATCACCTTATCTTTTCATCTTGCCTTTATTTTCGGTCGCCAGTTTCGAGCTGAGAGTCCCTCTCTGTTGCTCACGTTCTCTTCTAGTAGGAAAATTGTTAGAAAGCAAAATGGGTCTACTATATGATCCAATCCCTGCTTCCAATCTTTTCCATTAATTAATTTATTTATATTTGGCATGGCATTTATTATGGTTTTTGGTGTTTCTTTGTGATCAAAATATCAACTTGAAACTCTAAGGCGAACTATAAGGCAGAAGAAGATTATTAAATGGAGCCTAAGGGGCCAAATGCCAAGCCTGAAGTAGTGCAAGGCTGAAATTGGTAATGAGGTTGACATCAATGGGGCCATAGAGAGCGGTCGGAAGAACCAGAAGAACTATTGCTGCATTCACTTTACTTCAAGACAAATAAAAAAAAATGAAAACCTACATTTAATTTACACTCAATCAAACAACTTAAAAGTATTTCAAATACAGTCCAATCCTTTTACATTGTATTTCTTTTTCAGATAATCAAGGAACCCCTAAACTATTACAAAATATTTCAAATACATTCTCTTTTTTCACTACAAATTACATTACTTTTTAAGCTAACCAAACAACTCATTAATTAATTAATTAATTATTCTTCCTTAAAACATAAGTCTAACAATAAATTATATAACATTTTTGTTTATTTTTTTATATATAACATTAAAATCACGTGCGCATACTAATGTTGTTTGCAAATTTGAAAAATTTTGGGTACGAATGGAGTCGGCTGAAGTCCCGCCTGGAGCGGCAGCGGGACCCGCGTTCGACCGGTCAGGTGCCCTAAAAATCGCGTGAACGCAGAAGCTTTACCAAACTAAAAAGCAATTTTGAATACCCGTCCTCTTGATTCAACGCAGTTCTTCCTCTCTATTTATATCAAGCCCTAAACGATTCTCTTATTTTCTCGGTAGATTTCGGATTCTGAGAAGGGAAGGGAAGAAATGGAATCTCTGCTATCTGAAGGTTTTGCCCTCCATACGCGGTGTTCTGCAGCAGCTATCCTACGGCCGGCGACGCGGGTCACATTCTTCGGGGGATCATTCGCGCCGCTTTCTCGCCCCCTGATGCGTCGGCGATCCATACACCTGTCTCCGGCGACTACCGGCAGGATATCCGCCTTGGCGAGGAACGGGTCTTTGATTTCGAAATCGATGCAGGTGCGCCTCTTAGATGATTCTCGTATTAGTATCCAGGGTTTCAACTTTTAATGAATTGGAAATTCTTTCATTGAGATAACTATAAAGGGCTATTATGAAGGATACGGGCAACCTGTGTAGTTTTAATTCTTATGATGGCTTGTAATGGTAGAGTTAGGAATTTTTTTCAATGGACATATATAAATTAATTAAGTTTTTAGGATGCACGAATTAAATGTTTGTTATAAAGCATTAAATAGTAAATATCATGTGGATAGTAATATATGTCTATTATATATACAAATATACTAAAAATTTTTGGCGAACAAGAGCACTGGCAATGCCCTCTGCCATAGATTTCTGGAATTGGAACTTTTTTTTAATATTTAGTTAATTTTACATAGAAGTTAGGGAATATTGTGCAAGGCATGATGATTCATACATTAAACTCCGAACATAATTTATGGATATGCACAACAAAATCAACATTTCTTTCTCAATTGTCAATGTTGCTCACAGCTCATGAATAATATATTCACCTCAACTGAACTGTTTACAATATTATTGTAATGTGCCTTATCTGCTTATTTACAGTCAAACCACGGAGTTTATTCAATTGGCGATTTTATGACAAAAAAAGGAAGATCTCATCATCATCAAGCCATCTACTTCAGTTGATGAAGGTTTTTAGGTTCTATTTAATAAACGTCTTTCTGTTTCAAGTGTTCTAATTCCTTATTTCCATCAAAATTCATGTTAATAGCACTCGAAAAGCTATTGGAGCATAGGATCACTGGTTTTCCTATGATTGATGATGATTGGGCATTGGTACATTCTCATTACCCTTTTCAAACCTTGAATTCTTGTTTATTTAATTTTTTTGTCATAGTTCCTTTGGCTTTCATCCTAAGAAAATAATTGAGGAAATGACATCATGCTACTTTATATACATTCATTTATATAAACGCTTAATTATGTTTTCTCATCTTTTTATATGTTTCATTTGTTGTGAAAATTCAATTATGAAGCATGATTGTTTACAGTCTTGTTTCGTATACTCTAAGAAAAAGAAAAACAAGGGTGCCAATAGGAGCTTAGTAGCAGTTTAGATGACAACAAGGGTGCCAAAAGGAGATTACTGGCGGTTTAGGTGACAAACTTGCCAGTTTAGGTGAGTTCTAAAGAAGTAACTGCCCTGCCAATCTAAGTAAGTTTAGGAGAAGCAACTACTTTGCCAATAATAAGAAGCAATTACTTTGGCAACCTAAGCAAGCTATGAAAAATAAGTGAACTTGTTATGCTAGTAAAGCAAAAATAACTCAATTTACAATGGAGACATTGATAAAGGAAATATATTCACTCTCTACCAAAACTAGGAGTTCTTTCAACAACAAAGACACTCTTAACCCTTGTTAGTGGTTTAAAAAACTAAAAAAGTATGGAGGCTAAAGGAAATTCAACCAGTCCTCAACCAAGTATGTGAAGTGAGAGGTTCTTCCATTTTCAATGTTTATTTATCTGAAAAAATAACTTAAAATTTGGAGTCATAATCCTAGATGCTCTCCAAGTATAGATAGAGCTTGGGTAGCCACATTTATGGGTGGATGAGTGCGCCAAATTGAGGGATAATCTTTCCTAGATTACATTATAATGTGAAACAAACAACATGAATTGCCAAATTTAACAAAAAGTTGTTTAAGTGTTGCAATTAGAGTTTAATGTTTCACTAAGATTAGATTTTCAGTTTCCACAATTGTGAATTTGTTTAGACATGCAGTTACAATTTAGATTAACAGAACTGTTAAAATAAAGACAATAAAGTAAAGTTAAACGTGCGAATAACAAGAATCCACCGGTTAACAGTTTGAAAGTTCACCTTGAGTTTCCCTCACTCTTCACTCTAGGGAATAGTTAGCGGAGAAAGATCTAAGCAATAATATAGATGCCACCAAATAAAGTAAACGCTTACAATAAAGATCAATGGAAAGTTATTTCGAAGTAAAAGCCGGGGAAGGTTGTAGGATTTGCCACAGAACAAGAAGCAGTTGATTGTCGATGGTGGTCGCCAAAGAGAAGAGGAATCGTTCAAGGTAACTTTCAACAGATTGGTCGATCTCCAAATTAACGTCGAAGGAGGGAGACCGGAGAATATCTACTCTTCTTTGTAGATCAAACATGAATTCATGATCCTGCTCGGGATCCGCCATTCATGCTTGATGAAAAGTAGAGAAAGGGGTCGTCTTCTTTCGGATATGATGAAACTAGTATGAGGGGAAAATATGTGGGAGAAAAAGGGGGCTTGAGGGGCTGGTCAAGACTAGTGAAGGGGCTATGGTTTCTTCCTTGGCTAGGGAGAGGGGTTCCACTTGATTTCTGGTTTGGGTATTGAATGAGAGAGGAAGGACAAAGATCTAAAATTAAATTTCAGATTTCCTTTGATCAAGAAATTTGAATTTGAAATTCGATGGGAGGGAAGGATGGAGAGGTGGTTAATTATTCCATTGGAGCCCTTAATAAGGTAGGAAATAATTAAATAGGGGAAAGAGAAGGGCTGGCCAAAAGGAGAGGGAGGAGGGGTGTCTACATTCAATGAATGTGGATCAAAACATTAAATGGGATTGAGAATTAAATATGAAATTAATTTCAGATTGAGAATAATTGTAGGAGGCTTCCTAAAGTAGAATTATTAATCCAAAAAGTTTTTTGAAATTCAAATTTATTTGAATTCAAGTTTTAAAAAACTTTCCAAACCGTCGCACGACTTGTTTGTGTTTGTTTTCTTCGGCGAGGGGGAGTTTTAATGAATTTAAGTTCCGAGGTAAATTTTGGAAGGCAGATGGATTTGTAGATAAGACACTACCTAGAGATTTTGCCCTCATTTTGCGAGGACTTTATGATCTGAGTTCTGGTTTCCTATAGGCGCAAGTCCCTATAGTTAATTACCCCTCCCAATCACGAGAGAGAACTTTCAATTAAGGCTAGTCATCAATCAGATAAGTAGAAATATACGTATTTTCTGGCATATAGTAGCAGCATAATCATGGATATGAGTTTTGGGTTTAGATTTGAAAATTTGAAAGTTTGATATTTAAAATAGAAAATTTCACCATCTTGCACTTAAATCGGATGGTGGGGGAATGGATGATAGACCCGATCAAGATCCCATGGTTTCGTCGTCCCTGGCCATCGTGGTCCCTATTCTACTTAGTCAGAGGAGGTAGTCGACCCAACCTGACAGAAGGATCCTTGTCAGCAGTCATGGGTTGCTTCGTCCAAGGGTACCTTGTAGACATGGGTTGGATGTTTGTCTAAGGGGACAAATTCGAATCCACCTTAGCTACTAGAGGGCTTTGTGCCCTATCGATCATATCCTATTGATTCATATCTCAAGGATTTGATGCCATTAAAGAGCGTATTGGTTCTGACCATAATCGTTATCTGTGGTGGCATTTGACGCAAAATCACTCAGTTCAGAGGGCCCCGGGTGGTCATAACCGTTTATTATGCGGTGCCATTTGGCCGCAAAACCATCGGTTAGAGGACACGTACCACGTCCTTACTGGCAGAAGATTGTTTGAGAATGAATCCTAGTAATATTTTCGACTAGGCATTAGCTCTTTATGAGCTAAAGTTATATTTGAATTTGTCCACCTCGTCAAATTGTTGCGGAAGCTGGGTGAATTTTTGCTTTAAAGGATTGATGGATTTATTTCAATTTTAAATATTTTGAATTTGGAATTTTTAGACTTTGGATGATCTGTAGGATTTTGGATATTTGAGTGGAGCTTGGATGACATTTGAAAATATTTGTGAACCCCTCCGGTTAAGATTTTCTATTCAACACGGCCATCATCGGGGTGTTTGGGGTCATTTTTATTTATTGATTGAACCCTATCAACTCAACCAAGCTATTGACCGAGGATCAGATTTTCTCGTAGGCTTTATGCCATCATTGAATTCTCACTATTAAAAGCCTTGAATGCTTGATATAAATGTATAAAATATATATTCCGGTCAAATTCATGATCGTATATTTATTTGATGGTTTAAACCCTGTCTACTTCTATTTACCTGCTTAGGAGGAACGAATTTTGTAGGATTTATGCCATTAATTAGTAAATTCTCTTGATTATAGGCCTTGAAGGCCTGATATGAATGTATTAAAACAAATACACCGGTCGTCACAATCGTGTATTTGTTTAGAGATTCGAACCCTGTCGACTCCCATTGATCCATATAGAAGGATCATGTTCGAATCTGAATTCACTTATTAACCCGCGCAGCATCCTTAGACGTCACGTGTGTACCAATAACACGCTCGCTGAGGCCCATGCGGGTTGTGATTGTATTTACCCCTTTAGTGTACTTATGTGTATACAAACTATGGTGCATATGCAGGGGTATTTTGAAATGATTGTAATTGTGCAGGTGGTTGTCATTTGAGTGCACACAACTTTTCATTTGAGGGTGTATATACGCCTTATGTCCGCTAGTATGAGTGTTGCGGATCCGGTGGCGGCGTAGCAGCTTCTTAATAGAGTTGTTCACTACTTTGTACAGGTAGACTATCATGCACTGTTTGTTTTCTGCAGGTGGATTGTAATGCACTAACGAATCTCCTGCTTTTGCATCTGTAGATACTTACATCCATCATTGTTTTTTCATATTTGCCCACAAATAGCATGTTGAATGTATAATGAGTCTCTTTCAGTGTCATTGATCCCTTGCACAAACTCTTGTACGATCAAGAGATTCATCCCATCGACAAAGTATCTCCCGTTGCCACTTGCATACAGGTCAATGTGTTCATTTTGATTTTGATGTTGACCTCTAACTAAACTATTTTCCTTAACAATCCCTTTATGCTTATTTGTACCCTACTTAGATCCCATTAGACCCTTCTTTTTCATGGTGTCTGCAAGTAAATGTGGTAGGAATTTGCATTTGTTGTATAGTCTATATACTCCACTCATGAGCATACTAATGTGTTTGTTGTGGCCATTTAGTTCTTTCATAAATGTCACCGGCACATAAAACAAGTTCTATGCTTCACTAACACACTATTAGGATGATCATATGATGAGAAATTTATTTATCTTTGCTCCTAAAGATGACTGCTCATCCTCTTCTTCAACAATATCCTCACTGCTTCATTGGCCATATCCAACATCTTTCATTTTACACACATTCATATTGGTCCATTTGAATCACCCCTGATGACACAACAATCTCTACAAGAGCCTCTTCTATCATTTGATCTTCCAGCATTTCATTAATAACATCTGGGCAATCTAAGACTGCTTCCCTCTTAGCTACATTATTCTGCCTCAGTTTCTTCAGATGTTCTCTGCTATAACTAGACTTAAAACTATTATGATCATTAGATGCAGCATGACCACGCTTCTTTCTTCTCGATGGCAACATGTTTTTACTTATACTTGATTAATGCTTCTCTTCATTGATAACAATTAAGCCATCCTCCATTGGATGGTTGATCTCCTCTTTATTTCTTTTAGATTCCAAGTTATGTGCATCTTCAATATTTTCATGATAATGTCGCGTGCTGATTGATAGTCTACTACCAACACCTCCTTGGAATATAACATTAGTTACTCATTCTGGAGAGAGCTTGAACATATCTTCTGAGCATTTCCTAAGCCAGGTCCTAGGAGCTGAAAGAGGTGATGCATTATCAGAGGCCTCCTTAGAAGACAAGTCTTTCAAGTCATTTGTCAGAGAGATCTTTTGACAATTGGTATCATGACCATTCTTTGTTGCTTCTCTTTGATATAATCCTTTTCTACTTGAAAGATTGTCAATATGTATGATAAG